AGTCAGCAGTGAGATTATCCATGCCACTGGACTGAACCCAGTAAATGGAAAACACCTTAGCTTAGCATTTTGCCTTTGAATCACAACATGTTGTCCCATGACTTGAGCTTTTATTGTGCAGTTTATCTATTCTGGTATAGTCAGGCCTTCATTAAAAGTTCCAAAGGGGCTGGTTTAAAAAAAAAAGTGTTATGTCCATGTTAGGAGGGTAACATAGGTAATGAATAATAGGTAAAATTCAAAACTCTTTGCTGGTCATTGCTGCTCAAGTTTTCCATCTATTATAATTCCAAGCTTTCTCATATTGAGGTTAATACAATTCAAAAGCAAACATAATGACAAACAAAAGAAACAATAAGACAAGAGACCCATTCCATGAACTTTTTGCATTCAATCCTGCACAAAAAGTTCTGGTCCATGCCTTCCTCTGTACCCTAAAAAAGATTTGTAGAAGACTGACTAGGATGATCAATGTCTTGGGAATAATTTCTATAGGCAGCAATTAAGTAAGCTAAGATTTTCCTTGACCAGATGCTAGTGCAGTGAGCTAGGCCAGAAGTTTACCAAATCTGGAGCAGCTTGGAAAGATGGAAATAGACTAGTTGCCATCTCCTCCACTGTAAAAACCAGGAGCATCAAATGAATCTAGCAAAAGACAGGGCCAAAACAAATAAGAGAGGTAGTGACTCTTCAAAAGATGTGTGGTTATGAAAAATCATCCCCTTGGAATGCAACAGATTCACAAGGTAACTGAACAAGGAAGAGTTAACTGATGGCTGGTAAACACAAAAGACCTTAAACTCCTGTCAGAATATTTAAAGAACACACCACTGCAATGCTCAACTTACTCATCTTCAACAACTTGTTTTGGCCACAGTTGGAGACAAGATGCTGCAGAAGGTAGGTATTTAGTCTGATTCAGTTCAGCTGTTCTTACAAGCAGCTATCAGCTGGCTTGTAATCAGGCTTATTTCAGTTCAGAAAAGCTAGATTGTATATTCAGCTTGATTTTTTTTTGCTTAAGAATTTGGAAAAAAGATGTAGTTTTGCAGATGTTTGTACTAGTGGTCCTGTACCATGTGCTTTAATGAATTAAAATGCAAGAGCAACAGAGCCTATGAAAGAGTTTTAAGAGCTGCCTCAGCTTAAATGAGCAAGGTCCTAGCAGAATAAGGCAGGGCTCTGTACTTTTTAAGTGACCAAGGACAAGGCAGATGGAGGGATGACAAATAGTTACTGACAGAGTTCACAGATGACAAACTAGGGGAGTATTAAGTGATTAAAAAGATAAAACCATTTGTCCTGAGTCAACTGTTCTGTGCTCCAATTAAGCAATAGATTCCAGATTTCTAGTCATATCTTCAACATAGTGAATACAGATTAAAAATCCAAATACAGGATTTTCTTTTCCTGTTTTGAATAATGTGGTTTCCTGTGCCCCCGATTTCACAACTCTGCACAAATGTTACAATATGCAGTTGTATCAGTCTCATGAGCTCAGCAAGAAGAGAGATTCTGCCTCCTCTTCCCCAGAGAAAGAAACAAAGACCAAGTTACAGAGCATCATATAAAAAGCGATTCCAGCCAGGCAGGCTTGTGTATTTATGTTCCAATATCAGAAGTCAAGCCATTTTCTCCCAAAGGAACATCAACTGCAACCTGAAAGATACTGTGCCTGTAAGACTATTTGTGGTGTCCTACCTCTGACCAGCAAAATGCCAATTCAAGCTGCTCCTTGTATTCTCCTCTACTACCCAAAAAAATTCTCAAAAAAGGTCTCTACCTTCTCCAGTGAGATAATTGCTAATTTTCTCTACCTGTTTTCCCTGATAAATCAGTTCACCATCATTCTTTGCCACTATGGAAATGGATCTGTTCTGTCAGAGCCATTTTCTTTTAACATGAAAAAAAGGCCTGCTCATCTGGTATCATCTGAGGCAGTGAGAGTACAGCTGAAAGTGAAACAAATTTTGACTGCAAGTACCAATTCTACGGGTCCCGAGAACATGATTTTTCTGTCTCCCACTCTTAATTTTTTGCTGTAGGCTGGACTCCTCTTTGTAGGGTGTGCTACAGTATCCCACTAGCTTAACTGCTGCAGCAGAGTCCTGAGAAAGTCTAGTAAGATAAGACAACAAGGTGGAGTTGAACTACAAGTTCTTAAATCAAAAAACACAAAACAAAAACAACCACTTTTCATTGGAAGAGCTACAAGACTATATTTGTCCTTAAAAGTTTCTTTGATCAGAAATCCAGAGATCTGTGAAATCACAATACAAAAACAAATGCTGTGAACAGTTGTAGCAGGAAGAGCTCAGTTAGCAGGGATGCT